CCTCATTCCTCCTCCTTACTAATACTAAGTGATTATTAATCCCTCCCTATCTCTCAAAACAAACACCCCATTCTCAATCCCCTCCTCACTATCAAACCTAATCCCCTCCCCATAACCCCAAACACACGGGGCCTTAATATATTAGACTAAACTATAATAAGAGAGACCCCTTTTTTGGGTCTATTTTTCAATGGATAACAATGCTAATTTTTTTAAATGGTCTTTCAATTTTTTAATGGGTTAATTTATTTTAAGTTAGTTTGGGCCTTTTAAAAAAAATTTAGACTTAAAACATACCTAATATATTATACTAAATTATAATAAGAGAGAGCCCCTTTTTTTAGTCTATTTTAAGAGGCCCTGGGCCATGGCCTTGTGGCCTATGCCCCAGGGCTGGCCTTGGCTACTATAGATATACACATGTGTTCATAAAGTGTGTAACCTCTATAAGACTCCTCTTTTCTCCCCTTGTCTATAAATAGAGACAACCCTCCTTTGAATTTCTTTCTAGAATTTCTTATTCTCTTGTATCGTCAAGTTCGCTGAAACTATTCAGAAAGTGATTCTGCCAATTGATGGCTTTGACCGTCGTATCCAATTCAGAATGTACACTGGCGTTCCTTCCTCATCCATGCGAATTTTTTTTAAGGAGGCGTTCTTTTCTTATCCATCAGTGAGGTGATAAATTTGTTTAAAAGAAATTGTATTTACCACAGTAGTTGGTTTTGACTATCGTATCTTGGGAGACAGACGCCGTGTTCCTTCCTCACACATTGGCGTTCCTCCCTCACCCATTAGTGAAGTGACGAATCTGTTTTAAGGAGATGTTCCTTTCTCACCCATCAATGAGGTGGTGAATCTATAAGACTCCTCTTTTCTCTCATTCTCTATAAATAGAGACCACCCTCCTTTGAGCTTTTTCCCATAATTTCTCATTCTCTTATATCATCAAGTTTGCCGAAGCTATTCGAAAGGTGATCATGTGTAGCGATCTCAGTTTCAATCATTCTTTCATGTTTTGCCACTTCGACTGGGCCGGTCCGAGATCGAGCTGCCCGGTCTGCTCGCAAGGGTCCAAGGGGCAGAGTCCCTTGGCAAGTCCAAGGGTAGTGCCCTGGCAGGGTTGAGGGGCAGCACCCCTGAAATAAAAATGCAAAATGCAGTCGAAGTTGCTTGTCCGCTCGAGCCGCCGTTTATGCGCTCGAGCGGAGAATGTTTAGTTTCAGAAATTTGACCTGTCTGCAAAAGTACTGGGTTAGTGTATTTGGCACTCGAGCCGGGTTTTCCACACTCGAGCGGACCATGTTATATCAGTTCGTGAATCTGATATTTCAGATCACTTTTTCAGTCCTCTCTCTCTCTCTCTAAAACTCTCTAGAATTCCAGATTGGGAGCTTCTCTCTCTAGCAGTCATCTTCTTTCTTTGATTTCTCCAAATCCATTGGGATTTAGACCTACGTTCTTCATCAAAGTTAGTTATTATCTCGAGGGTTTCGTTGTGTGCGGTGAAGATCGAGTTTCTACACCGTTGATTTTAGGAGTTTCATCTCATTTCTTCTTCAAAACTTGAGGTAGGGATTTTCTTAGAGTTATATATATATATATATATATATATATATGTTTTTGCAAGATCTATATGATTTTTGAAATCATTTTTCGATAGCGTTGGAACTTGATTGTTGATTCAAGAAGTTGAGCGATTTTAAAAGTGAGTTTGTTTCTTGTTCTTTTAAAATAATCTTATGGGTTTTGATCTTCGTTGATTGAAGAATAGATGATTTTGGAATGTTTTCTTTCAAAAGATTTGAGTTGTATGGTTTTGGTGAGAAAACCTTGAATTTGGGAATTTTTTTTAGAGACTGAAAATTCATGAATGATATTATTATATTTATTTTGTATGTCAAAATAAATGGATCTTTGAAAAATTTCTTATTTATATTTATATAAATGATGAATTTCAGAAAATATGAGAATTATTGTTCATTTTGAAAATTATTGTTCAAAACGTTAAAATAGTCTTGAAATGACTAATTGTTGAGGGTACTTGAGAAGAGGGAATTAGGTTATTCCTTGGATGATGAATTGGAATAAAAGTATTTATATTCATCTTGTATTATTGGCATATCAATTCATTTGATTAAATTAAACTTTGAAAGTTGATTTGAAAACTTGCATTGAGAAAAGAATGTTGAGAAACTAGTTTTTATAGAATGGTTTTAGGATAAATACGTTGGTAAGTCTTGATAGGTGGTGTAGATGATATTGAATAAGTTGGCCTCAGAGTCCGGGGTGAAAGACCGAAAACCCGCGCGAATAGGTGTCGAGTCTTCTAATTAGTACCGGTAAAAATGACAAATTGGTAATCGCTTGTATAGTCTACTTGTAGACACCGACTTAGGATTACCAGAGTCGTATTTGCCGCTTTTGAAATGAATTGTTAAGTTTTGAAGAATTGAAATTGCATGACATCATTGAGCATGATGGTTTTCAAAGATGAAGATGTGATTTTCTTTCAAAATGGCATAGCATGGCATGTGCATTTCATCTCTTGAGACTTGTATAAAATGTATATACTTTGTTAAGAATTTCCTACTGGGCTTTATTCTCACCTTACGAGATTTTTGTGCAGGAAAAGATATGGTGATGTCACCTAACTAAAGGCGAGGAAATGTGTGTTGAGAGTACGAGACTCTCATTTTGCTGTGACTCTGTGTGTAAGCCAAGGGTTATATATGTGTGGGTTTGAATAACCGTTTTGTGTAACTAGGCTCAAACCTTGGAAACTTGTAAACCCTTGGGAGTATTGATTTGTTTATTTTCTTATTGTTAGATTAATGTATTGTTGCACGAAGAACTATTGTATCATGTAATGTAAATTTGGAGATTTATATTCGGCTCTCATTGAAAGAGTTATGATTGTTGTATTATTATTTGGGAAATTTGGCTATAAACCCCCTTTACCTTCCTTTCATTGTTAAAAGGTCTAAGAAAAAAATTATACTTTCTAAACCCCCTCATAATTATAAAGTCTTGCATAAAGGACAAATTTATTATTTAAATATTTTATATGACTGACTATTATACCCACTCTCTTCCCCACTCTCTTCCTTTCCACAGATGGCCTCTTCAAGAAGAGCGGCGAGCTCTGCAACTTGTGCGGCACTGAAGCCGCCGTCATCACCTTCTCCAATGCCGGCAACACCTTCGCTTTCGGCAACCCCTCCGTTGACTCCGTCCTCGACCGTTACCTCTCCATGACTTCATCATCATCCAGAGCCTCCGCAAGCTTCTCTTCCCTCTTTCGACATAGGGTTTCAACTCAAATCTGTGCACCATGAACGATTCCGATCTCTAATCTCCCGAAATCGCGCGACTGTTCAAAATTTTCATATTTGAACACAGTTCTTCAGATTTTTCATATATATATATGTGTGTGTGTGTGTGTGTTTTTGTGTGTGTGTGTGTGTGAGAGAGAGAGAGAGAGAGAGAGAGAGATTTTTCATTTGGATAGTGTTGTTAAGTTCTTAAATTGATCTATTGATGAGTTGTTACTATGTTCTCTAAACTTTTTGTTGTAAAATTATTTTTGATTTTGATAAATTTTTGTGTCGTAAGTGAGCAATATGGATTGTGTATATGTAATAGATAATAGAGAAGCCAAAAAGGTGATACGAAAGAGGCAAGTAACTGTGAAGAAACAGAAGAATAGTGGTTGTGAATGATCTAATTTCATTTGATAGAACCAGAATTTTACTCTAGTTCTATTGCTCTGTTTTTTTCATTTGACAGAACCAGAGTAAAATTTTACTTTTATACAGAGTAAAATTTTACTTTTAGCTTCAGAGTCTCACAGTTTACTTGTTTTTCAGAGTAAAATTTTACTTTTATACAAAGTAAAATTTTACTTTTAGTTTCACAGTAAAATTTTACTTTTATACAGAGTAAAATTTTACTTTAGTTTCAGAGTGTAACATTTTACTCTTATTCAGGGTAAAATTTTACTTTTATACAGAGTAAAATTTTACTTTTAGTTTTAGAGTGTAAAATTTTACTCTTATTCAGAGTAAAATTTTACTTTTATACAAAGTAAAATTTTACTTTAATTTCAGAGTGTAACATTTTACTCTTATTCAGAGTAAAATTTTACTTTCATACAGAGTAAAATTTTACTCTGAAATACACAGTGAAGATGACTTAATAGGAGAGCTGATAGATATGAGGGTATTATAGTAAAATAAACAACTTTTAAAATATTAAGGGGTTTTGAAAGTACTTATATAATTCTTGTCCTTTTGAAAGACAAATTAGATAGTGAGGGGACTATCACCAAATCCCCCTTATTATTTTGGCTAGAAATTTGTGGTGTTACATTATGCCAATAGCTGGTTTTCACCGTCATTTCCTATTCAGAAAGTACACTAGCGTTCCTCCCTCACCCATCAGTGAGGTAACGAATTTATTTTAAGGAAAACCATAGTAGTTGATTTTGACTGTCGAATCTTGAAAAATAGACACCATGTTCCTCCCTCACCCATTAGTGAAGTGGAGAATCTGTTTTAAGGAGGCGTTCCTCCCTCACCCATCAGTGAGATAACGAGTTTGTTTTAAAAAAACTGTGTCCACCACAATAGTTGGTTTTTGACTATCGTATCTTGAAAGACAGACGTCATCTTCTTCTTTCACCTATCAGTGAGGTGACGAATTTGTTTTAAGAAAATTATGTTTACTACAGCAATTAATTCTGACCATCATATCCTGAGAGACATGTTAGCGTTCCTTCCTCACCCATCAATAAGGTGACAAATCTATTTTAAAGAAACTATGTTAAATATTCACGGCTATGTTTAAGAAAACTAAGTTTTGATTTGCTTTTCTGATTCAATTTATTATTTTATTTTAAAATGTGTTTGTTCTATATTTTGTTTTTCAAATTGCAATATCTAGTTTAATTAAACATACATTTTGTACAACATTTACATAATTATTCACGGCTAAACTGATTGAGAGAGATTTTTAATTAATTACCAATTTTATTAACCACATCAAATTAAACATTTACATCATATTCAATCAAAAGAAAGAAACTTGTGAGGATGATGATGATGATGAAGATCCCCATCATAAACATCAAGATTTTTCTCTCCCCTCACCAGAAAAGTAAAACATGACTTGGAATCTAAGCTGTGACAGGTGTCTCGGCCGTGACCTTGCCAGTGTAGCTGATTTCAGACACCTTGTCAGCATCCCAAAGTTCTGGCAACGCTTCCCTGATGTTGTGGATGCTTTCTAAAACATAATCTGCACCTTTGATTCTCTGTGATTTTCCAACCTACATACATTATTGAATCACAAAAGCATCAGATTAGTCACCGGATTGGCAAAATATCATCAATAATGGATAGAGATACTAATGCACCGACCATTCACAGGTCCGCAGTACTTGTGAGTGGTCAGTGCATTTTCCGTATCTTTGGACTTTTTTCATTTCCAATATTAACTTACCAGTACAGTATCCAGGCCTACGCGCTTTCCAGACTGTACATTGCGGACACTATCCTCAAAAAATAGCTGAAACAGAAAAACATTGAAGATAATTGGTACCATTTGGTAACAAATTAATTTGGAAGAAACAATTTTGAAATCATGAGGGGGCTAATCTTACTGTTCTTTGGGGGCTAATGTTGGCGATCTTGAGAGCTCGTTCAATGGCGTGTTCAGATGGTTTGCAGACAATTGGGGTCTTTGGTAATACTGATCCGGGATTAGGTTGCGAAAAATGTCCAACAATGTCAAATATTTGATCACAATTAGTGGTAGTAGGAGATAGTGTTGAGCCCACAAACTCAATGTCATCTTCATCATCAGATGTAGTGTTCTTGTGAATGGGATTCAAAGTCTCAAAGCATATAATGCCCTCAAAACAGTCTTCCAGACCGAGTTTGCTTAGAACTTTGGCAGCATGGACTCTGTCTGCGTTCGTGAAGATCTGAAACACAAAAAACAAGAAGATAAGAAAACAAATCTACGATTATAATCTTCAGATGCTCCGGATTTGTGACAAAGGGACTTACCACTTTTCGAATTGGCAAGTTGAGCAAAAGACTTCGCAGCACAGGGTCCGGTTTTAGATTCTCATAGGGTAGTCTCCCATGGACAAAACTGCAAAGCAGAGAAGTCAACAATTTACAATCCAAAAATCCCAACAACAAAAAAAAAAAACTAAGTGTTATTGCTTGAATTTCACACCTGTGATAGTCATCATAGTCGAAGTCATAGCCGATTGCCTGCAATTGAAATACCAAAAATGAAACAGAATTACTAGAACTGTTTATGGATTAACACACTTCTCAAACAGTTATAAGAATTTAAAGTTAATTCATACCCTAAGCCCTGCCATTGTTGTCCCATAATTCTTGTACAGTAGATTACTCAATTCGGGTATCTTGTTCTTGTCTATGCCGAGCTTTTCAACCATATAATCTAGAAAAATTTAACCAAATTAAAGTTAGGAAAAAAAGAAAAAGAAAAAGAAAAAGAAAAACAGTGATAAATGGGACCCACATAAGTGTATTCGTTACACATGAAACTTTGCAGGATTTCAGAGAGTACTATACATGGATAACAGAAATAGGAATATGCCACAAGGTTATACCTCCAATATTCTTGCAGCATCCAGCTGCCAAACCAGTACTAAGGGGATAGAGAGTATCATCTAAATCTGCATGTTTTAATACACTCATATTAGGCTTGCTAGTAAAACATGTTTTTAGAAAACAAAAAAAAAAAGAAAAATGTTTGGTGGCTACAAATTCTGTGGCTCAAATGGCACAAAAATGCCAAAAAGACGTCGTTTTGACATTTTCAGCCATTTGAACCACAAAATTTGTGGCCACCAATCATTGCCCAAAAAAAAAATCAAAAATGCCTTACCAAACAGAAGACAGTCATATTTTGGCCTCTGAGCCTGTCTGTACTGGTCTTCGTATCCCATTTTGTTCTAAAAACCTTCAGAAAAGAATGAATGGATCGTGAGAAACTGGGATAAGTTAAAACCATCCAAGCTTTTGTGAAACTTGAATTCAATTCTGATTTTGTAAATTTTCATGGCTTAAAAGTTTATCATTGTGGTCTACTGACTCTGATTACCATTATAAGAACACAAAGGCATGGAATATCTATAACCATTCCAATTACTTGGGATAGGACATATTGGTTTTGTGAATGGAAAATCCACAACCACCATTTCATATTTATCGAAACCATGAAACGTGGACAATTGGCTTTAAGGTTCAAAACTTGCGTCATAAAATATATACAAATACCACTAAAAAAAAAGTTTATATTTATTTAGAAACAAAAAGTTATTTACTAACCATTTTGTTAGGAACAAAAATCAAACACAGAAATGAACATAATATACACAGAAATAAAAAATAAATTAATCAAACTGAACATAGGGATAATTTGGGAAGCTAACCAAAAATTAACTTTTAACTTTTAACTCATTTTGAATCACATATCTCCCACATTATAAAAAAAATAAATAAATAAATAAAGTTTTTAACCAATTTTTCAAATTATCCCATAATTATCACAAAGATGTGAGACTCACAAAAAAAAACAAGACTCATCTCATGTGAGAATGTTATGTTTAGTTCTATGATCGATTTCTGTTTTAGACTTTTTCCAAGTTCTGTAGTTGCCCGTCCATATACATTAGGGTCATGTTTATTTGGGCGATAGACTGGATTAGTATTTTCATGACTAATAGTCCTACGACTACGAATCCGTTGGATTATGTATCCTATCTTAACTAATAGTCAAGTTTAAAATAATTAGTCCGTACTTCAATTGTTTAATCAAACATCGGATTAATAATTTTATTGGATTATTAGTCCAATCCCAAAGTCATGTCCACCCAAACAAACATGACCTATGTGTTCAATTTCTTACCCTTTTCACTACATATCTTAACTTCAAGAACCAGGCCCAACTCAAACGTCTTTATTAGATTAAACAAACAATAAAGAGAAAAATTGGAGAGAGAGAGAGAGAGTTTTTTTTTTTTTTTTCAAAAAAGGAACATCAATGAACTGCAAATTTCTCAATTAACAAAGAGAAATCTATAATAAACCATGAATTAGAGAACCCAAAAATTTCATCGAAATCGGCAAGAAAATTGAATAGCAAAAATGGGCAGAACTCAGGGACAGAACATACCAAATTCGAGAAACGAATGTTGGAGAGAGAATGCAAACTTTAGAGAGAGAAAGTAACGGGCAGAGATAGCACAATGCTAGAGAGAGGGAGAGAGAGATGAAATAGTTGTAGAGAGAGAAAGCTTTCTGCAATGGAAGATTGAAGTATGCAGGGGAGAGAGGAGGAAGGAAGACTAGGCAGGGCTTCTATTTAAATAGGCAAATCGTTGCTTTTTTAAAAAAATTTAATTTAATAAAATAATAATTAATTTATTAAAATATTTTAATTTTGTTTAATTTAATTAAAGGCGGTTTTGAAAACTAATCAAAAAAATAAAATTTAGTGGCGTACGTAGTTTCTGGACTTCAATTATTTGACCATACAATGACCAAAATATCCTTCTTCTAACTGTCCCTTTCAAGTTTATATTTGATATTTTTTAGAGAAGTAATATATTGATATTTTTTTGTTGTATAGTCTTATTTTATTTTTTTTGACAAATTTCATATACTAAAATTAAAACAAAAAATACTACAGTAAAGAGACTAACAAGTTATAGGATCATTTTTTAAATAAAGAGACTATCACTTAGGACATCTCCAATTTACTCTTATTAAATTTAAAACGGATTAAAACCTTCAAAAATTTTCTCAACTTTTTTACTCTCAAACTGTCAAAATAAATTTCCTTAAAATTTTAATGAATTTTGTAACTCGAATTTCTAAAGGTTATTTGCATGACTTGTTACTTCTAAATTTACAATTTTGATACTTACCAAACATTTATCCTCTGTTTGTTTGGGTACAAAAAAAAATTTCATTTTTTAAATAATTTCTGAGTTTTAGACAGTAGAATTCAAAAGTCAACAAAAAATATTTTCATGATTAACTAAAAATAAGTCGAATTGGATAAAAAATATTTTTTACTTTTAAAAAATAAAAAAAAATATTTTTTAAATTAAAGTCTTATCAATATCATCACACGACCACTGTCACACCACCACCTCCACGGCCGGTTGCCGCCACCATACCGCCGCCACCATGCCACCGCCACCTTACCTTTGTCCCACCACCATCCCCATCATCAAACAGGAAAAATATTTCTGAACAAAAAAATTCCTTAAAAATGTTTTCTTCTCAAATAAACAAAGAATACTTTATATTAATGAAGCTTTCACTTAATTTTTTAAACTTAAATTCAAGTAAAAATATGAGTAAGGGTTATATTGATATTTGGATTATAAATTTTAAAAAAGAGAGAGAGAAAGAGAAAAAAAAAATTAAATTATATTCCATTCATATTTTTTTATATTTTTATATTTTCCTTTTCAAACTATTATGGTACATATCCCTATATGTTTTTTTTTGGTGTGTTACGTTATTTTGAGGCAAATATTATGTAATTTTTTTGGTAAAGATAATAATTTATGATTCAAAAATAATGTTATGTATTTTGTGATAATATTATGTATTTTTGTAATAATATTTTATATTTTTTATCTAAATATTTTCTAACTAACAAAATGTATAACATTGTAATACAGTCGTGCCTTATACCCCCAGTGAGGTGGCGCGCCCCCACTGGCTGCAAACCGAAAAAAAAAAAACAAAACAAAACAAAACAACAGTTTTTTTCGGCCCAATCATGGGCCTCCACCTCACTGGGGTCGACCCCCAGTGGGGGGTATAAATCATTTTTCCATTGCAATATTACCATAGAATATATAACTTCATTTATGAATTATAAATTACTGTAGTTTTAAAAATACATAATAAGATTATAGGTTATTTTGAGAAGATGATTAAAAGTTATATTCTAACTTTTAACTCATTTTAGATTATGACATGGACAGGCCCACGGGGCATACAGCCCACGGCAAACCGCCCCGAATCCATCACCTCGGACTCGTAGTATAACTTAATTGGCAAAGCCCAGGACAGCTGGAGTCCACCTGGACTGTATCACCCAAGGGCATTTGGACACATGACAGATGAGACACAAGCCACATCAGCAGACAAAGATCTGCAGAGTTATTGTCACAACACATCACCATTAATGCAGCCCATCACAGCATTTATTACGACAACACCTCCCCGTCGAAACAAAGCCCCCTCACCCTGAACAAGGTAAGCTACGGCACAGGCTTTCGGCGAAGAGGGGGGCACGTCACAAAGGACAGTGAAATGATTACCAAAAGATATAAGCAACAAGAGAAGCACAAGAATGAAGTTAAGTTTTTCATTTCTCCATCTTCTTCACTACATTTTTCCGGTCTTCTTTCTACTAATTCTCTCGCCGGAGGGTTCACTGGGGGACTGCCCCGTTCCCCTTTGGACTTGCTTGCAGGTCATCTGACGGAATCATCACCCGAAACCAGAACCTGAAGAACCTGGGCCAGCCTGACCCATACACCCGGGACGGCCTGTATCATCAGTTGGCGCCGTCTGTGGGAAACTTAGTGGTTTATCCGTGCGCTAGTTGTGTTCACTACCGCCGGAGCCCTCCCTTCTCACCATCACCTTTCCATCTTGCCCGTCCAGGTGTATGGTCACGACTAGGTCCATGGCTTCTCACCACAACGCCGCCGATCACCAAACAGATCCTTCCCACCCAACTAACCCACCACAATATATCATCGAGCTCACCAACAGCATTAACCGCATGGCCGAGCAAAACCAGGCCCTGATCAATTCGTTACTCCAGAGAAACCCCCCCGCTCCACCTCCAAATATCCCACCCAACCAAGGAATAACCCCAGGCCATACTGCTCCACAACCCCCTCCGCCTAACCCAGAAGGGTCGCAGCCCCTTCCTCCCCAACATAAAAACCTACCACCCCCACCTCCACGCCCGCCAGTCGCAGCACTGGCTCCTGAGCGGGAAGCTAGCAGTGTCCAGCCTCCATTAACCGACCATGGCGACAACATTCCCCTCTGCGACGCTGAAATCCGAGCTATGAAACTCCAACTACAAGGGGTCATGCAGAACATTCAGCACAAGCCCTCAGTCACCACCAACTCGCCTTTTGTTGCCTCCATCCGCGACAAATCATTGCCTGCCAAGTTCAAGATGCCTACCGTTGACTCCTTCGATGGCACGACGGACCCAGTCGACCATCTGGAATCCTATCGCACCCTCATGATCCTCCATGATTTCCCTGACGATATCATGTGTCGAGCTTTTCCAGTGACACTGAAGGGATCAGCTCGGCTGTGGTTTAGCCAACTCCCGGCGGACTCCATCTCCACCTTTCAACACCTCAGTGACTCCTTCCTAAGCCACTTTATTGGAGCCCAGCGTCAGAGACGCCCAGCCACCCAGCTCCTTAACATTCGTCAGACCGAGGGGGAGTCGCTCCGCAGCTTTGTCACCCGGTTCAACACCGAAGCCCTTCAAGTAGCGGAGAATGACGATAAGGTCATCCTCACCGCTTTCATGGCCGGCCTGCGGTCGTCTGATTTCCTTTTCTCCCTCTCCAAAAACCCTCCAACCACCATGGCAGCTCTACTATCCAAAGCACAGAAATACATGAATGCTGAAGATTCCCTGGCCGCTCGGCAAGAGCCGACCCCTAAAAATCCGACCCCCAGAGACAATAGGAAAAACCCCGAGTCCAGAACCGCCCAGTATAATAGCCAAATACCCCACTATAATGACCGAACCCCCCGAACCGACCGGCCGACTCCGACCAGACCACCCGGTCGGTTTGAGCGGTACATACCTCTTAACTCCCCCATGGAGCACGTCCTCAATCAAATCCAGCGGGACTACCCCCTCAAGTGGCCCCTACCGTCCCGACACCCTTCCACCCGGAAGGATCAGTCCAAATACTGCCGCTTCCACCAAGACCATGGCCATACTACCGACGAGTGCATCAACCTCAAAGACCAGGTCGAGACCTTCATACGCCAAACCTCGGCCTTGTCGAGATCACCTCGGCGTTACGACCAGGACACGTGGCACCTCGGCTGACACGTCGGCGTCACCTTGCCACGTGTTGGTACTCAGAAAATATATCCTCACAGTACACAACATATTTCCACATTGAATATATTGGTACAAGACACGAGAAACATAACCACGTACCCACAAATCTCACTCTAAAACCAACATGCACAACCAATGTCAAGACGCAAAACCCCGTTGCCTGCATTGGATGGATGATGTTAACAACACCTACATGTATAAATTACCACAGCAACAAAATGCATATCCTACGTCCAAACAGGACATTATGCCAACTATAAATACACAACAATATCAATATACCCTTTCCACCATAAACTAATAGATAACTCTGACTATTAATATTCAACACACAACACCATAATATTAAAACCATACGCACATCACATCTAATCATACACATTCGATGTGCGTGAATCGTCATATATGAAAATCACAATGTTAAATTTACCCCAAATCTCACATTGCACATTACATCAACCAATTAGGGCATGCAACGATGACTTAAATCACAAAACAAAAATCGAATACAAATACAGGATAACAAATTGCAGCACACATCAACAATTAAAGTGTTAAACGTTACACGTCTTCGCCTTTCATTGTCAACGTTTGAAATCACGGCAATGTCGTAATCGGTGTGTACAACGATGAACACTGTCCACTCTATCTATATGTATGTCTCCAGAGACAACGATGTCAAACCCTCACCGATGGAGATTGATCAGCTATTGTTAAAGGTGGTTCGTCAGGTGAAGAGGTTCCTCCAATTAGGGTTTTAGTCGAAAACACAAATATGAAATTTGTGGGAACAACTCTTCAGAAAAACCATCAATCACATCTAGTGTTCCAATTCCCTAACATGGAAATGTGAGAATATTTCTTGACAATGTTTCCATATTCAAATCAAACATTCAATCAAAAAGAGGGAAACCAACAAATGTCTATAGCGCACTTTATGTCCACAAATGTAATTTCACCCACAACAAAATTCTACATTCGCCCCCATTAAACACATAAAAGCGCGCATGGAAGTCAATCTGATTTTTTTATGACCGTTTGGTTTAACAAAAGAAAGGCAGGACTAACACAAGTTTACAAACTGAAATTTATTGGTGCTTCACCCAAAATGTTAAATGTTATATTAATTGTTTCATTAATAAAAAATAAAAAATAAATAAAAAAACTAGTCATTCCAACTTTCCAAATATTAACTTTTATAAAC